CAGTCAGTCGTATGCTCCCTGTCTTTGATCCCTTGGGGGTGAGGCAGCACTTTCCTTGCGATAGTAACTTCTAGTTTAGTGATGATTAAACAACGACATATTCGATCCCATATGTATTGATGACATTCAACTTACTTTCAATATTCGACAAATATATCCCAAAGACTTCGTGCGCTAATATTCCACTGCCCTTGTGTAAACTGTGCTTTAATACAAATATATTACGCACTCATATAGTTACACATTCGACAAATATATTTCACAAACCGAGCAGACCTGACCCGATTTCGATTTTCATTTTTAGTGAATCAATTTCAATCTAGAATCTAGGGGTCTTAAATAAAAGCCTTATGGTTTCTATAGAAGCCCCCCCCCCCCGACACTTTTTGTAAATACTTTATTTTTTAGATTTATTGATGTAATCTATTTTTTGGGCGAACAATAAATAAATAAATAACGTACAAACATTATGCGGAAACGACATACTCGATTCTCTGCTCGATTCTATATATATTGCAATAGTTTCGTGCGTTTAAATGTGGCATTCCTTCGATATAGGCTAACTTGGTTTTCATTTTTCCGCGCTATATCATTAATTTTTCTAATATAATGTTTGATCACAGTTAATATCTATTAACTGTGTTTGATCAAAGCGATCAACTGATATGTCGTGTTTAAATATGATATTATACACGATATAAAAAGACCCCGTGCGCTAATATTAACCCCAATGACCCTTGTACAAGCTGTGATTATATAAACAACGACATATTCGATTTTATATGCGTTGGAAATGACTTTCAACGTGATAAAACATATTAAAATAAAGACTTTACTATAAATTTATACTAAGAATTTATACACATCTCTATATACAGTGTGAACATATATCTTGTGCGTTATGCACTTAGCCTGTGGCCTATAGACGGTTCGTATTTCAAGGATAAAAGGAACCGCGCAGCAGGACATCGCGGCATTGGGCTATTGAGTACATTTAATACCCGCAACCCCCTACCCCCACCCCGCCTGTCAAGGACCTTGATTTCCAAGGGGGCTAATCAGTCAATTTTTCCAGACGGGTAATGGGAAAAAAATGCTGTTTCCAGATTGACCTTACGTCATATTTCGTTTGAAGAGAATTGCATATTATTTTTGTTCTCTCATGCAGGATGGAAACATTTATAATAATGAATTATTGATGAAGAATTATTGATCAAGACAAACAGCTCTATGTTGAGCGTTCCTTTGCAGAGTATTTAGTCTTTCTGCAAGTTGGAGCAGAGTTGTTCGAGCAGAACCCAATTCATTTGGAGTAGGATTCGTATTGAATTATTGATTTCACAGTCGAGAATGAAAATGCGAACATTGACGTTGGATATGCGAACATTGATGTTGAAGATACAAGCATTGATGTTGAAAATGCGAACATTGATGTTAAAAATACAAACATTGATGTTGAAAATGCGAACATTGATGTTGAAAATGCGAACATGAATTTTGGCGGAGATTTGACGCCATGCTATCCGCCAAAATTCTAGTTAGTAATGAAAATACACAAACGTTGATGTTGAAAATGCGAACATTGACGTTGAAAATGCGAAGAAAGATGTTGAAAATGCGAACATTGATGTTGAAAATACAAACATTGATGTTGAAAATACGAACATGAATTTTGGCGGAGATTTGACGCCACCGTAACAAGTCACGAATATATTCTCTACCCATTTGTGTCATGTATTTTTCACTGATATAAATATTGTAAACAAAGTAAAAGTTTGTGTTTAAAAACACTTTTCAAGCATATTATCGTGAAACGACAAGAAAAAATACAAAAATATAAAAATAGCATACCTTTTCCATTGTCCTTTTAGTAGAAAAACATTAATTAAATCAAAACAGATTCATTTTTACATGTTTTTGATCGGATCTGAACATGAACCTGTCGTTGTCAGGAGCAACTTGTCAAAGCCAAAGCCAAAACGCCAGGCATACAAGGTTTTATTCCAAAGCTTCTCTGCTACCATATTCATGAAAAAAGCATGTACATTTTTACTAAAACTATACGTCTTTTTGTGTGTTTCTTGCCAGTGTTTTTCTTTGTCAGCCTCGCTTCGAAAATACACAACTGCACTGATCTCAAATTAGTTCGCAAGCAACATTGGAGTTTTAATCAATTTAATTTTTACATCTGATAAAAAATAAACACGTTATTTACCGGCAGCATCGGTCCGGATGAGAAAAACTGTGCCCTCGGTCTTAAAAACGTCCCTCGCCCTTCGGGCTCGGGCCGTTTTCAAGACCTCGGGCACAGTTTTTCTCATCCGGACCTCGTAGCCGGTAAATAACTTATATATAGGTATAAGAATAATAGTGCTATTCAAAAATGTGAGTATTCAAAAATGTGAGTAGCGATTTTAGTTCCAAAGGAAATGATGGAGTTGCTCTCTCTAATTTCGGTTGGTAAAGAGTTCCAAATGTGTGCTCCGTCAAATATGAAACTTTTTTCAAACTATTTGTACGTGACTGTGGTAAGCAAAGAGTACTTTCAACATCTCGAAGTTTATAAGTTGTCATTTCACTTTTGAAGGTAAGTAAATCAGTAAGTGATTTAGGACCCATTTTATTCAACAATTTAAACATCAGTTTGGACTTAGCTTTTATTGTTTCCGTTTTTAGTGGCTTCCATGCAGTCTAAAGCATCTAAAGCCAGATGAATGAATGATTGATAATAATATTTATTCAGGAAACCAACATCACAAGAAGTGTTTTTCAGATGGTTTCTGAAAAAACATTAAAATACAAAGTATAGAAAATATATATAGTGTGCGTGCAGTATTTACATATTGGTATATATGGATATATATGATATACCAGAAAAATTATGAGACTATAGGATACATGATGCTATACATATTTACAAGGATACAAAGAGTTAGTAAGTTATATTTTAAATATACTCTATGAGTATTATAAAGATAGAGATTTGAGAAGTTCATTCCTAAAGGTTCCTAATTGTTCAATGGATCTATAGTATTATAGTTCAAATCGTTGTACTTTTTACAAGCCTGGTAAAGCAGTTTTTGCATGCTTTCCCCAGTTTGTCTTCGGCTTACAGAGGTATAGATCATCTCTGCGTCTTGTGTTATATAAATGATTAGTTTTAGGCAGTTCGAGATTAAACTCTATTAAATTATTTTTTAATTTATACATGGTTAGTATTCGGTGTACTTTGCGTCGGTGGGCAAGTTGATGCCGGCCAATGTAATTTGTTGAGGGCTTCAGTGGATGAGGATAGGTAGGGAGCGTCAAGAATGGTCTTTGCAGCCTTATTCTGGAGAACTTGTAGTTGATCCATTAAGGAGGAGTTATTCTTGTCACCCCATATAATATCTCCGTAGTCAAATAGTGGAAGAATAAGAGCGTTGTAGATATTAAGTCTAGTTTTGAGTGGAATGTTTTAATTCTTCTTAGCAGTCCGATGCGTTGGTTAATTTTTGTTGAAATATTATTTAAATGGTCAGACCAAGTGAGATTTTCTGAGAAAGTTATACCTAGATATTTAAAAGTACTTTCACGGGCAAGTTGATGTTCGTTGACATGTATGGATATCCATATTATTGAACGACTTCAGGCGGCTGTTACTACCAAACAGGACGAACTTAGATTTTTTGCAGTTCAATGTAAGTAAGTTTTGATCAAGCCACTGGGAGATCAAGTTAAGGTCCTCGTTTACGTATTTCAGTTCTCAATGTCACTAGCTGACTTGGATGAGTAGTATAGAAGAGTGTCGTCAGCGTAGAGTAATATCTTGCAGTGTTTAACAATGTTGGGCATATCGTTGATATAAATAATGAAGAGAAGTGGCCCTAAAATGCTTCCTTGTGGAACGCCGACTGACAAGGGTAGAGAGCTGGACAGCGTATTGTCGATGGATGTTACTTGTTGACGAGAGGAAAAGTAGGACTCGAACCAATTTAGGGAGTTGTCATCCAAGCCAATGGATTTTGATTTACACAACAGAATAGCATGGTCATTAAATGAAACCCAAATTATATCGACTCACCATTTTCAGTGTAGTAGTTAGTATATAGTGTAATAGTATATTTGTAATATTCGTAATAGTTAAGACTATCATTCAGAAAAAGCTGGAGCTGTATTTATTCAACTGACTTGACTTAAAGATGATGTCCACTCCTGTGCTCATGCGCGAAGTTTGTTTACGTTTTGAACTGCTGTATTTGTAAAATATGATATATTAACTGAATATCTGACACTTTTCTGGTTCGCTATGCTTGTAAATAAATATAAAATCTACCTTTTAATTCAAAAAAGTTCGAAAGATGCAAAATTTGGGCAATTTTTATATCTGGGGGTCCCCCTTTGTTTATTTGTTATGAGCAGAACTGATGCGCAGAACCGAGTGGACAGCATCTTTAAAGCTTTTATCCTTTCATTGTGCACCCTGAGAGGGAGAAACTCGACAAACTCTCTGACCAAGGCTAATTAGTGTTGATACCGTTTATGTCTCTAATCAGAGTTCGATCTATAATCTCGCCTCAGTTGCATGTGGACTAACCCGGAGAAAGAACCTGCGATGTTTGCCGCGGAATCAAACTGAAAGCATTCATCTTGTTAACCAATCTCTCAAACTACATCTTTTCCCCTTCGTCTTTTCCGCCATAACGAGGGGTGCAAATATCGCAAGTTAAATCCGGGTCAGTCCGTTTTTGTAGAACAAATAAGAGATGGCTCTTACTGGACCATGTTGAACAGTTAAATTTGAACAGATACAGTAGCATATTATACCATACTAGTATAAACACAATTAGTTCACGTCTACAACATGTTGTACATGAATTGCTATTCCTTCTTTCAGTGGGTGTGGAATGTATTATGTTCCATTTCAAAAGAGCAAAGAATACATCCGAAGGTAAATTATGTATAAATTTATTCGTTTGCTATAACTAAAATGATAAGCACACTTCAGGATAAACACACAGTTACGAAAGTAATATCACAATTGTTGTAAAGAGAAAATAGTCCGATAGGCTAAGCATGTAATTAGGTATAACCCTAATATTTGGTGTAAAGCGCATTTTGATCATATCCACATGTAGATTTGCGCTATAGAAATGTTAATCGTAATTAACATAACTTTGCTCAGTTCTGAAATCATAGTTTTGGTGATAAAATTATTCTCATCTAATGAACCCATTTAATCTGTAGGGAAAAGGGTAAATCTTTCATGTTTATAAAGTCTGTCAGTTATTATATCGGGTTTTACGCCCGTATTCTAAAAGCTCACTCACACTCAATGAGTGGAAGTTCAATCTGAGCTTCGCTCGAGTGTCATTGCTGTTTTTGAGTAGCTGAAGGGCTAGCTATAGTGTCATACCTTACTATGTTACTACTCACCCTCCAGCTATTCAGCTATTCAGAAACAGCATTGACACACAAGAGGCGCTCAGACTGAACCCTCCACTCATTGAGTGTGAGTGAGCTTTTAGAATACGGGCGTTTGTATAATTACATTTATTTATTTATTTATTTATTAAACTTTGCCAAAAACACGTAACAGAGCAGCGAATAGACATCTAGACAATAAACATGGACAAAAATGGCAGGGACACCACAACAGTGTAAACCAATTACTGTGGGCCCTATACAAAAATACACATACAGTACAGAACATAACATAC